GGCTCGCGCGCCCTCCGCGAGGCTTTCGTAATGATCCTCGGAAGTTTGCAGGGAAAAAGTCGCGACACGTCGATCCCTGAACGTTCTACGAACCGATTCGAATGGTTAGAGAACCTTGACCGTTTCTTTTGTGGAACTCTGTTTCATCTTCGTACAGTTCGCAATTCTTTGTCTCAATCGAGTTATTTATTTAAAGCGAGCAATTTTATATATTATATATAATATAATATATCTGTTCACTCTAAAACGGAATTACCAGTGAGAGTTAAAGTTGTGCACTCGGTGGTAGAGAATTCGAACTGAAATTTTATCCTTATTGGATTACGAAGAAACAATCCTAAGTCGTTCTAACGAGTGCTCTTGCCGAAGCGCAGGGGTATCGTCCTGGCTCGCGATAGATATCCTAATGCCTCCTGACAAGCGTGCCTGTCCTTAGCCGGTCGGCACCTTTTCGAGCTATCCGCTGCAATTATTCGAAACCGCTGGCGAGCTCCGGTCGGCCTCTCGTTGTTTTTTCTACCCTCCCGGACAGCTCGTTCCACTCGCTTGTCCTGCGGCCGTCACAGATCCTTTCCAGGGATTCGCCTATTGTCTGCGGCCAGGGCTCCTTCGGCTCTAGTGTTTTCCTGCTGGTCGATGCGAGTCCAGATAAAAGTTTTGACAAGATTACGGTGTCCTGGATCGGGACCGGCCCGGTAATGAGTCTTACCGGTCCCGACCGTTTTGTTTGCTGGTAGCCGACTTATCTCGCCGATTAGATAGGCGCGTCAAGGAATTGGAGACGGGCCAATGCAAAAGTTTTGGCTCGTCTCTGTTACATCTGTTGAAAACTTGCATCGTAAAATGCGTTCAGTAGATTTGTGTAAAGTCTTACGAAAATAATTGCACGCGAAACCCACCAAGCGCCTCGTGATTAACAAAAAGAAAAATGACAATCGACAACTGGGATTTGCTGCGTGCCTAGCGAATAATAGAGACGTCGATCGAGGCAACGTCGCCTACGGACGGAAAACGCGACAATGCAACGTTGGCTGGTTCTCCCGCGGTATGTAAATTGAAAACGCATTCGGATAAGTTGACGGTGTATCGATGCCGATCGGCGCTGTGGCAATACGCGGCCGCCCGGTGCGTCACTTTAAAAGTTAAGGATCAATCAGTCGTGTACCATTGTTTCCGCGGCATTGTGCGACGAGCGCGGCGACTTGTTTATGAATCCCGATACGATATAGCGTTGGTGGAGCGATAATAATAATGGACGGGGCACACCGAAGGGAGAGGCGCAACAATAAAAGCTACCGATCGCGATGGTGGCTCCGGCGACGAACGAGTTCGGCAACGTGAATCGGCGAGTAAAAGTGTGGGCGAGAGGAGGAGAGAGTCAGCGTGAAATATCCTTCCGCGCGAAATTAGAATTTCGACGAAGGACGACGAGGCGCCGGAAAAATACGGGGAACCTGCAGGGCTTTTGTCCCGCGCGCTCTGTCGTTGTAAAACATATTCGAATTTTTCGTCGTACGCGCTTCCTCTCTCTCTCTCCCTCTCTCTCTCTTTTTGTTCCTTCGTTTTGTTTGTGACGTTCCGTGATTCGTGAAACGCTGGGGTTTCGGTGGTTAGTTTTGAGCGGATTTCGTCGAGTATTAACTTGGTCACAAGTAGTACTACATATATAGTACCTTTTGCATTATTTCGACAATTTTATTACAACTTGGAATTATTATCGATATATATTAAAGTTAATTCGGATGAAGCTGCAAGCGTGCGACTAATTAAGAGAGATCTGAATCAATTAGAAGCATTTTCTCTGGGCACTTAACCCGTACAATATTTTCGTCAGATAATCCCTCATGATTCGAAATGTACATCGTCGTTGATCCAAAGAGTAGAGACACACCCAGACGTTTTAATCATTTTAGACCCGAGCATAATAATTCATTCGCGTTTATACTATTTACCGTGTTAATTATTAAAAGCGTATTATGAACGGTGCGTCGCGCAGCCGTCTCTGACGCGGGCGTTTCCAACGGAATAAGTAGATAGCAATTAATAAAGTAATTAATCATGGGATAATTGAACGAATTAAAGCCGGATAAATGAGAGCGGTGCCGCGTAGCCTGGCCTCGTTTCGTTTCAATCGCGCTTCCTTCTTTGTTTACCCGCGAGCGAAATATGTAGACGCCAGGAAAAGTGGTCGCGGATCGGCGAGGCGCGTGATTGGTCGTTAATCCGTGGCTCGTGTGCCTCGATAATTGCGGTGGAATGCGATTTGTGCCATAAACTTGGACGTTCCTGGTATTTGCATTCGCGAGAATAAATTGTGCTCTTTGTAACACTTTAACAATGGTCTGTGCTAACTTACAAATTAGCAGTTTGAGAACTGAAGAGAGCAAACTGATAAACGGAGGTTTCAATTTGAGCTTTTAACAAGCGGCCGCGAACAGAATCTTCTAGCCTAGGAATTCGAGACAGGTCACGAATCGAGCCAGCGACGATCGGGAAACGAGCCGAGTTCCAATCGTAAAACAAACATAATTAATACCGAGCCCCGAGGTGAATGGAATCACTGTTCAGCTGAATCAGAAACGCTTCTCATCCTCTTCGCCGCACGCCGTTTCTTTCCTTCGACCGAGCCTAGAGGATGACGCGACGATGACGAAAGTCGTTAGCCGGCTTTCAATTAATCGTCCTCGGCGATCGCGAGTTTCGATCGTTTAATCGATTACCGTCGGGGAAAGCATAAATATAGAAGTTAATTGGATGCTTAATCGTCTTCGTTTTCGATCCAAGGCGGACGGACAAGAGCTACACGCATCCTCCAATGCCGCGCCGTTGCAGAAACAACGCGTTACGAGATAAAAAGCGGTCGCGGGGATTAATTAAAATTGGAGTTTAATGAGTCGCAGAAGTGCGTCTGCATCTTTCATCGAAAATAACATCTGTTCGTGACAGGGACTGGAATTTAGTATAACACACAGTGTTCAGTGTTCGATATTTATTTACAATTTCGTTACTATCATCTCTGACTCGATGAATCTTTTGGAAACTATATCGGAAAATCTGATTCATTTAAGAAAGGAACGAGAGAATAAAAGGACGTAAATACCCGGACAGGGAAAAAGGAGAACAGAAGGAAACCGGTAAACGGAGCAATCATTTTATCCCGCTTCGAGGAAAGCACTTGGAAGTGTCGTATAATTTTTCCAGAGGCACGCGCCGCGCTATTTATGCGCGTAACTCGCGTTCTTCCGTGGCCAGCCAGGTTTTCGAGTACTTCAGCTTAAGCTCTTCGTTGAACGAATATAAATAGACACGGCCCGTTCCAATGAAAATCGACTTCTACTTTCCATTCTAGATACGCGTCCAGCGACAGTTTCGCGTGGACGCGCGCGTCTTGAATTCAGGAGGGAGGTGCAAATCCGAAATTATGGAAACTCAAGTGGAATGGGCGATAGGCCAATATTGACAGAATGCTACTTAAGGGTTGAAAATTGATTTGCGAATTTATGTCTACTGAAATCTAATTTTTTTTAAATGCAGTAAATATGGATGAGATTTAAAAAGTTGAAACATGATTAGGTAGATAGCCTTTTATCGTGGACTTAGCTGTAGCTACTTAAAAACAATTCATTTGATTAAACGAGTTCGACAAAGCTGAGCAGTTAACACAGAGACCGTAGGAGACAACAGAATGTTACATTTCGACAATAATTAGGCGAGGCGCGGTTGAAATCTGGAGTTTGGAACAGCATTAGAAGACGCGATACGTATTAAGAGGTGTCTGCGAACGAAATATAGCGGTCCGCGAGGTACGACACTCGTGGTTGGCCAGCGATAAGTGACGTTACGCTGACCGTTGGGAGGGGCAAAGAGGCTGAAAGTAATAAAAATAAGTAATTACTCGGAGTAATCGGCCACCACCATTCCGGATTCCCGGGGACCGTGGTCGTTCAATTAGCTGAAAGTGTTCTTTCACTTCCACGGTTACCGCGGCAACCATTGTCCGGGACCTTCGGGAACTCCTGCAGTCGCAGTTGGGACGCGAATCGGAATCACGACTGAAACGTTGTAGATACCGACGTATGCTCGTCGCGAATTCCCCCCACGATATCCGAAGCTCGTGCATCTCATCCTCGTCCACGCGAACAGTAGCGTTGGACGAGATATCTACACGCTTAAGACAATCAGAACTAATTGTCTTATGAGCGAGATAAACAAATTGCTGATTGCGATATTTTGAAATACTGGTTTAATAAGATGGATCAGTGACGTAAACTGTACGAATCGGCCTCGTCGCTCTCGTCCTGGACATCGTCGTCTCCGTCGACGTCGTCACCCTTCCGTCGCGAGGCGCACAGAGAGAAAGAGAACGAGCCGGGATCTAAGGGGTTGGGTGCAGCGCGGGGGAGAGAGGAAGGTAGAAAGGCGGAGCGTAATAAAAATAAGTAATTACTGCGAGTAATCCTGTCCCCCTCCGTCTCCTCTCGTCTTGCCGCTACCCCTCTCGTTCTCCACGCGAGTCGTTCAATTAACGGGAATACTGTTGTCTTCCCTCACTACGTTCCCCCCTTCCTATACCCCCTCCCGTGCTCCCTCTCCCGATCCAACGGCGCGGCTGCCGGGACCCTCATCCCACACACGCCCAACGTCCGCGAAACCCGCGAAATGTTTCACTCGCAAACTCGCGTGGAGCGCGCGGACTGCAGAGCAAAAGAGGGGCGATATCGACGCCCCTCCTTCACTCACGCCCCTGACGTCCATCTATCCGTCCTCCCACCTCACACCCGACCCGTTCACTCTCCGTGCATCGCGAGCTACCCCTCTCGCGCTTCTCGCGACCCCCGAACTTCCCCCGCGTTCCCTCACCATCCCCACTGTGAACGCGACCCACCGCACCCCACCGACCGACCCGACGACCCACCGTTGCGGCCTATCTACTCGGTCGCGAGTCGCGCTCACTCTGACCCGCTGCGCGACCCGATACGGAAGTGGGGGAAAGCTCCCAAGCTCCACTCGCTCGTCCGCCGTCGTGCCGTGCGGTTCGTGTCGTGGTTCGTACGTGCCTCGAGTGTCGCGCGGTGTGCTCCGATCCGATCGGATCCTCTCCTGCGTATACGCACGCGATACACAGTTTGACAGCGCCGTTTCGGAACGAGGGTGCGTGCTTTTGCGATATCGACTGACACCGCGTCCTTCGGTAGCAACACTGATCGCGGCAAGTATATGAGTGTTCTCGCCGTGTGCTTTCGTTACGAGGGATGACCGGAGGACTGAAGCCAAACACCGAAGCGGGACTCTGTTCTCTACAGCCACGTCCACGGGTCTGACTCCTCGGATGCTTCGGAAGATACTACTGTCTCTCGGGTGGATCTCGGGGGTGTACCGAGGTACGAGGTGAAGAGACGCGAAGGTGCACCACCGCGGTGCATTACGAGAGTCGTTAGGTGCCGGGATTCGCGATACGAAGCGGAGCTTAAGATCAATAGTCGAGCGTTGGAAGACGCGGGCTTTCCAGCGAAAGCTTCGGAGCAACGTCCCTGTTATCCTCGCCGGTGACAGGTTATTGTCGCGAGAAAAATCGGTACGTCCTGAGCAGCAGTGCGTTGACACCTGTCCGTGGATTCGCTCGGACCGGTCGTACCTGACTCTCTGTGGACCGTCCGGTCAACCAATGTCGCGCATCGTGACCTCGGCTAAGGGAGAAATCGTGTCGTAACGAGTGACCATCGACGTTGTGTATAAAGTGATTTCTTGTTTATATTGTCTGTTCGCGGACAGCCGGGAATATTACCGTGGTTCCAGGAACACAGCCTACGCATGCCGTGGATCGAGGTGAGCTTCATAAATACACGTTATATCTTAGGCCTGTACCACGGACAATCGGCGATCGCTTAAGCCAAGTCAGGTTCCTTATCTACCATTATCTCGTTATCAGTAATCTTCCGAAAAAATTGATACGGTAAATCTTAGATAACGATTTAGGTGAAGCACTTCTATGTATTTAAGTGAAACTCGCTGGGTGGTCGTCTCCGGTATGAAAGAGTCACCGACAAGTTAGTTAGTTAAGTCAGCGAGTACGATTCTCGGGCTCCGCTCCGAATTCGAGTCTGATATCAGCGGACAGAGTAAATTCTCGTTTCGTGTTTTCGCGTTGTGGGACGCATTGCCAATGGTCTTCGCTAGGGTATCGTGCCAACTGGTGGGCACGGGAAGACTGAGAGAAGAAATTTCCGTGTAAGGTTTCGAGGCTGGGGCACGCAGGCGCGTCCGTCGCCACGTGGTCGAATGCTGATCCGTGCTAGCCGAGGTGTTAACCTTTTTCGAAAATCGACGTGGGATCAGCCGGAGCGGCGGAGCACGCCGCGGCACGGTGGCGACTATCCGACTGCCAGTTCGCGGGGGTGGGTGTGTGCACACGCTTGGCAAAACAAGTAGTTAGTTACGTGAGCACTGGCAGCCCGCCAAACGAGCCTCGAACTTTGAAATTGCGTTTGAGGCTTTCTTTCGCCGCGGCGGCGATTATATGCGCGGAGATAGGACGGCGACAGAGAACCAGGGACGAGGGAAAGTGAACGAGAAAAGGAGAGCGGCTTATATCTGCTCGACGGCTACCCAACCACCCTTTGGGGGTGTCCTACCCCCGAAGTTCGCCCTCGTTTCCTCTCTCGCTCTCCGTCCCTCTCCCAATCTTCTTTTCTGTAATTCACGCGGCTATCGCCGGTGTATCTCCTTTCTGGCACGGCCAATTAGTTTGCCGCCGCTATCGCGCCTGCTGCCGGCCAGATAGCATCGGCTAAAATGTAATTGGCTCCTTATCGAGCGTGGCGAGCTTACGATTTCTGAACTGGCCAGCACACGATCGGGTACCTCTCCGCCACACACGAAGCACGAACTCGATTCGATCGTCTCCAGGGGTGTCGACGCTCTTTTTTTACTTCTCACTCTCCCGTTTAACCGGATACGGTGAGAAGTCGCAGAGATTCGCTCTACTCCACGATCCCTGTTTGTCGACGAAGCCTCGAAATTGCCTCTCTATCTGGCATGTCATTAATCTTTGGCAAGTAACAGGAACAGAGGGAACTAGAGAGCAAGAATCGATATTCTATTCTGATTTGTGGTTCATTTTATGTATTTACACTGTTTAGAATTGAATCCGGTACATTTACTGTTCTCCTATTCAAATTCGTTTAATTGAATCAAACAGAAGGACTGATTAAGGGGACTGAAAGTTATAGCGGTAATCAAAACACAAAGTAGATTGCACAATTTAATAGAAAAGAAAGGGCAAATACAATTTACATGGCCGCCCGGAATCACCCCTTATAAATATCATTAGCATAAATTATTCCAATCCGGTTCTATTATATTGAAATGCCCCTATATCATTACTTATAAATTCAATTAACCGAACGTCCGTGCAATCATTGTTCCGCGGAACATAACAGGTTCTCTCGTTATTACTTGAAAACGGGTTGAACGAGGGGCAGACGTGGAATCGGGGTCGCGAAAAAACAACTTTTAGGATCCGTTTCCGTCCGTTCCAGCCGGAACGAGCATAAACATGCAAAAAACTCGAATCTCGCCGACTCATTGTTACCCCCCTAACCTCCCTCCCCCCTGAAGCGTGTTCGTTAATTGGAAAGTTTGACACCTGAATGAGATCGTAAAAATGTAACCTGCGTGGTTTCGCGGGGTGAGGGTCGCGGGTGAACGAAGGGAGGTGAAAAGGCGCGAAAATGGTCGTCGGGCACGGGGGAACATCGTAAAATAATAAATTTGGACCTTGACCACCCCGAAAGCCCGTAATCAGTATTCCACAACCTGTCAAACGGTCGACCCAAATACTTCGGGAGCGTGAACAGTTTTCGGGTACCTGCTGCCTGTTGTTGTCCTGAAAACACGAGTGGACCATTGTCCTCGGACGTTCTTCCTTTTGAGAGCGTTGAAATCCTGTTTGTTTCTTGGAAAACGATTTCATTATTGAAGATCTTTATTCAAAGAGTATATAAAAATGTATTTATTGTCGGTGACTCGTGGGCTAAGATTTTTTTATTTTTAAATAAAATTTGACATTGACATTGATATCTTATATACTTTATTCTGTATACTTTTTAAATTATTCTCCTACAAATATGCAAATTGCATAATGTCAGATGTACTGCAATCTATGGAAATGGAATCATTGATAATGAAGGAGCGCCTGTCAGTAGAACATCTTTGTGAAGCGTCGTGAGACGTGTTCGCGTGAAACGAAATCCAACAAAGGATCCAATTAAGTCCAATTAGGAACGTATAGCGCGCTGCGAAACAGCTGTCACGCGAGATAAGCTTGCAACCTTGCAGATTATCACCGCGACTCGATATGCTACTTTGCGCGCCGCTCGAAGCTACTCTGAATCTAGTAGGAAAAAAATAAAACATGTTTCTCTGAATTGTCTCGTCATGTGTTAAACCTCGGAGCTCCTCGATTAACCATGCAACCTGTGCATGTAAAAATCCATTTGCAGCGAGTGATTTTTATTCTATGTTTACGTCTTACCAGTTACAATTTATTATCTCTCATAGTGAGCACTGTTTCCATCCTCGTCTCGTTCCCGCCTCTGCTTTTCGTTATCTGCAACTATGCACTAGAGCAGACGTCTTGTCGTAGGAAAATGGCAGTTTGCAATTAAACGACGACGTTATCGTAAAGGACCTATAGGTCGGTCGAGTGTACATGGCAGCGAATTAAAATGTAAATACTTGATTAAAGTTAATCCCAGCTAGGTGAATAAACCTGCTGTGGCGTGGGAGACAGAGAAACGTGGAGGAGAGAAAATGGAAGAGTGAGAGAGGGTGGGACGCGCGAGGGTTAGGTACCTACGGAGGTTGAAGAGAAAGGATGAGGACCAAGAGAGGAATAGCGGCGACGAGGGTGGAGAAGAGGGAGGGGGGGTGAGAAGCGCGAGAGAGCCGCCGGTCCTAAGGGGTGGTTTTTATTGCCGGTTTTTATTAGCTGAGTAGGTGTACTCCATTCTGCCTCCCACTCGCCCTTCCCCCCCGCGGCACCCCTCGCCATGGCGCTCCTGCTATCCGTGTCTATAACCCGACCACCTACCTCCTACCCTGCTCCGTCGCGCGTGCTTGGGGATGCGAGACGCGAGGGGTGGAAGGATTGATTAAAACTAACGTTGCACCAAGAATTACCCCGTGAGATTGAAAATTAAATTAATATACAAAACTCCGCTGGCCACCGGGGCTAATTAGTTATATGATAGTGATTAAAAGTTAAGTTTATATCCTCGGGACGGATGCGGGGATTCGATTCGGGCGGAAGTGGACGACGATGACAAGGACGACGACGACGACGAGAGGGATCGATGAGAGGAGGAGGGTAGGGGTCGCGGGGAGTTTGGTAACCGATCGGCTTTTGCGATATTGAAATTGGGTTTCGCTGGAATTGGATGATGTTTGTAAGAGTTTGAGAACTGTTTTATGTTCTTCCACGGATCGTTCTGTAGCGTGGAGTAATTCTCTGTGTACGATCTGGAACTTGTTTTTATCGTCTCCAATCCCGAGTCGCTATCTTTGTAATATATCGTCAGCGTTGGCGTGCTAGCTGCAGCCTTCTCCTGTCCTCCTCCGACCCCCATTGTTCATTCGAATTTTATATTTCGTTTGGATTCAATTAATTACAGCGGCCTGGCACAAATAAAAAAGAAGTTTGGAGTTGTCGGAAAGTGGCTCCTTAGAATTAAATTAGTCCGAGAGTATCTTTTTTCTCGGTGCGCTCCAGGAATTTAAATTAAATTTCGCGTAATACGCCTCAGTATTTCTATCTGTTTCCTTTAGATCTTACTTACGACCGTGATCCGAAAAACTTAACCCATTCCATGTTATTCCAGTCCAGATTATTCTTATTGGTCTTATCGAAAATCCGATTAATATTAATTTCAATTGTACTATGTAGGACAGATGCAATTAGGAATTACGAACTCAAAGATATTTTACGTCAATTGATTAGACAACGTTGAACGCGTCGATGAAATTCTGGGAATAATTAAGAAATAACTGCAGTAACTCTATAAATTTTCATTAAGGTGACAAAGCGAGCTTTAAATGAATTTCACAAAACGTAGGGCGCACCGTCATCGACGTACAGCTTTTCCCCGAGGTATTTTCAATATATGTTTCGTTAACGTTAAGCCAATTGAACGTTCCGCGAAGTAACGAGTGATAAATGAAATTCCTTGGCGGATTTAATAAGGACTAATGAAAAATATATCCTGCATAGAAACGGGAAACGCGAGAGGGAACGGAAACGACTTTCTTTTTTTTTTTTTTTTAAACGAAATAAACTGTCGAGAAAATTACTCTTGCTGGAGAGTACTGTTGCTCTGAATCTGAATNCCCCTTTTAATCGCGTTAAGTGCGTTTCGAACAAATAATCGAGCCAGTATTTCGCGTTCGGGATTTCATTATTTTTAATGAATTTCCATTATTTTTAATGAATCCTCCAGAGAAAACGTTCGCGGCTCGCCTGCGTCGACAGCTTTTCGGTGAACGTCGATATCGGACGACGCCGACGCGTTTCACGTGCAGCTAGTATTTGTATAGAATATTTTATCTAATAAAGTTTATCTATTTGACTTTCCACGCGATATGTCTCTCTTTCCGCGATATTAATATTTACCGTGCCTGAATAATTGCGAGAGTTGTCGCAGTCGGAACTTCGATATCGATAAAGGAAACAGACGGGAACAACAAACAAGTTCACAGGGTATCTTTGCCCGCGTAAGTATTTCTTTAGAAAAATACTTAATTTCGATCAAAGGTTTTCGCGGTGGTTGCAT